TGTCAGACCCCTATATGCATTGACAACTACAGACCAGAAACACCTTAAATGGGACAGAGAAACCATACGATCCTTTGAATTGTTAAATAAGGCCTCGATGTCGGCCCCAGCCTTAGGACTCCCAGATGTGAGTAAGCCATTTCTCCTCTTCTCTCACGAAAAGCAGGGGATTGCACTGGGAATACTAGCACAGGATTTAGGTCCATATCGCCAGGCGGTTGCCTATTTCTCCAAACAATTGGATGCGACTGCAAAGGGCTGGCCTGGATGCCTACGAGCAATCGCAGCCGTAGTATTAAACATCCAAGAGGCCTGAAAATTTACTCTAGGCCAGAGAATAACTGTATTGGTATCTCATACCATATCCGCAGTACTGGAAGTAAAAGGCAGGCACTGGCTCTCCCCACAAAGATTCCTGAAATACCAGGCCACCCTGGTAGAGCAAGATGATGTGGAAATTGTGGTCACTAACATTGTCAATCCAGCCTCTTTCCTCAGTGGAAACACAGGAGAACCGGTACACCATGACTGCCTAGAAACCATCAAAGCAACATATTCAAGCCACCCGGACCTGAAAGATAGTCCTATGGAGGACACAGTGAACGGGTTCACAGATGGAAGCAGCTACGTCTTAAGTGGCAAGAGACATGCTGGATATGCCGTTATCACCAGCCAGGCCGTAATAGAATCAGGACCTTTACCCATTAATACCTCGGCACAAAAGGCAGAAATAATTGCTCTGACCCACGCCTTGGAACTAGCCCAAGGCAAGGCTGTGAATATCTACACAGATTCAAAATACGCCTTTGGGGTCGTACATGCGCACGGAGCAATTTGGAAAGAGAGAGGACTATTGAACACACAGGGCAAGAACATTAAACATGCAGAAGAAATTTTGAAACTGCTGGAGGCAGTCCAACTCCCTGAAAAGGCGTCAATCATGCACATCAAAGCACACCAGAGAGTAAACTCGGAGTTGGAAAAGGGAAATGAGCTGGCGGGCAGAGAGGCAAAACAGGCAGCCAAGATGGAGGTAAAGGTGGAGGGAGCTTTAATCCCTGACGGACAAATTCTCCTAGAGGGTCAGCCAAAATATACCAAAGAAGATCTAAAGCTTATCACAGACCTGGAAGGATCATATAATCAGGAGGGGTGGGCTCTCACCCCACAAGGAAAATTAATTGTTCCCTCCTATTTAACATGGTCTTTGGTTAAGGAGGAACATAGAAAGGGGCACTGGGGAGCAGAGGCCCTATACAAGCACCTAATTAGACAAATTATAGCTAGAAATTTATACACCACTGTGAGACAAGTAACTCAACAATGTGATCTTTGCCTCCAGACTAATCCCAAGAATAACTCCAGACCTGAAATAGGCCAAATTGGGAAGGGCAATGGGTCTGGACAACAATGGCTAATTGACTTTACTGAACTCCCCAGAAAAGGGCGGTATCGATACTTATTGGTGCTAACTGATACCTTTTCAGGTTGGCCAGAGGCATTCCCTACCAGGACAGCCAAGGCTCGGGAGGTAGCTAGAATATTAATAAAAGAAATAATACCACGTTTTGGAGTTCCAGCAACTATATCCTCTGATAGAGGACTGCATTTTGTTTCAAAAATAATACAAAAAATTAGCCACCATCTAGGCATTGATTGGCAACTCCATACCCCATATCGCCCTCAGTCGAGTGGCCAAGTGGAAAAGATGAATCATTTAATTAAACAACAAATTGTAAAATTGGGACAAGAAACCAATTTGACTTGGCCTCAGTCCCTTCCTTTGTCTGTCCTGCGCATGCGAACTAAGCCGAGAGCAAAGGAAGGAATGAGCCCTTTCGAAATCTTGTATGGGCGACCCTATAAAATTCAGAAGGGAATGCCCACACAAGTAGGGGATGAAATAATGACCTCCTACATGGTGGCATTAGGAAAACAATTTAACAAAATCGGAAGACATGTGGTTGGGACTCAAAGTAGGGGTCTAAATGGGCTTGTACATAATATACAACCCGGGGACTATGTATATATAAAGTCTCTTACAGAAAAAACTTTGGAACCACAGTGGGAAGGACCATTCCAGGTACTCCTCACCTCCTTTATGGCAATCAAGATTAAAGAGCAGAGCGCCTGGATTCATCAAACTAGAGTGAAGAAAGCACCTAAGTCCCCATGGAGGGTCACACAAGTCCAAACAGGAAAACTTATTTTATCACGACGCTGATTGTGAGCCTAATAGGGAGACTTGGTGCTTGGGAAAATAACGGATTCATGCAATTACATGGTAAGATCGCAGAAGCCATGAATTGGTCTGACTGCTGGATCTGCTCATGCCTATACCCACAAATGCGGAGCGAGGTCATCCTGTGGTGGCCACTGTTTTTCCTAATTCCTCTATGATAATAACAGCCCTTAGTAACCAGTCCATATCCAAATACACTAACGGATCTGAAAGGAATCTAGCATGGTGAATACATCTAAGCCTATTATGGAATGAGACTGAAGGAGTGCCCTGTGTCCAGAGGTGCTACCTGGACACTGTCATAGCAAATAAGGGAGGAAATAAAACAGACAAGAGATGTGAGGAGGAATATTCTGTCGGAGCTTACCCTAATTGCACCTCTTACATGTCTTATGGAAGTACAAACGTGGAACAAAAACCAAACCCGAAGGAATTCCACAAATACTCCCAAAGGCTGGCCGGTTCCTGTAGGCCGAGGCTGGTACTGGATTTGTGGAATGTGGGGATATAAAGTACTACCCCTAGGATGGACCGGCCCATGTGCTATAGGTACCATAGTTCCCAACATTACCTCTGTGAAAAATCTAACCAGTTTACCCGGCTTATTACGAACCTATATGAAACCAGTAGCCTATTTGACAAGAGAAAAACGAATGACTCATCCGTTAGTGACAAAACCGACTAGCTTCCATAGCTTTGCAAGATGGTTTATCCCATGGTTAGGAGTGAGTGAATTAGAAAAGGCTCTAGTAAATATCTCGGCCACAATGGAAATTATCAATAATGCCACAGCTGATGTGCTCACGGCCCTGCAGAAAGAAATCTCTTCCCTAGAAAAGATGACATTCCAGAATAGGCTGGGATTAGATTTGCTTTTTGCCAAGGAAGGGGGTCTATGTACAGTTATTAATGAACATTGTTGCACATACATTAATCAAAATATGAGAATCGAGAAGGACTTGTCTCTAATTTGGGAAAAAAAAACAGAATTTTACATGAAGCAGCCCAAGACAACACATCTTGGGGTTTCAGGGACCTGATGGAAAAAAATGACTTCCTGGTTGCCGAATTTGGCACGGTTGAAACAGTTGCTTGTTACAATAATTGTTATTATAATTTTATTCACGGTTCTTTGTATAACAGTCTGATGCACCTTACATGCTGATGTAAGTCTGATGCTGTCACGATACAAGAGACTCTTACAGCGAATGGAGGAAAAATCAACTATGACGAGAACTTGAGTCTAATAGATATTTTGAGAAATGTTAGATAAGGAATTTCTATATAAGGTACCATATGTTAGCATTAGAAGGAGTAAAAGAATTTACTAACTTACTAGAAAAGGGGGGACTGAGGGGAGTCCTAAGATTTAGAACTGGTTGCTGGTTGGGTAATTAGTTTGCATTGTTAATGCAATTAGTGATAATATACCTTAATCGCATTGTTAGTGCAACCTAAGGGTTAACAAAGCGCAGGACTTAACACTTATGAAAAGTTAGCTACATTTGTAACTCTTGAGATAAGATCAGCCAAACCAAGGGGAGACTGAGCCTGCGCAAAAGAAGAGAACAGGTGTAAGCCAGCTTTGTGGTTTGGACACGATCCAAGGAGTAACTGAGCCTGTGCAAGACCAAAAGGTTATTTGCGATGACGAAGAGGAGCTGCTAGCCTTCATCCCCACGACCCCCTACGACCACCACCAAAAAGCACTGCACATGCGCAGTGGGAGGAGTTTATGGAAATACTAATTATCATACAAAGCGGGAGGGGGGACAGGACGGACACGACAGGTTATAAATATGTATAGGCGATCTCATGAATATGTAACCACAATGCCATATATGTTTGGAGGACGGGCAGCTACGGCGCACACGACTTTGGTGGGATACCCCCGTGCCGCCCAGCGCTAAATAAACATACCTACTTTACAACTCTAATTGGCTGATTGGTTGTAAAGTCCTTTCTCCGCACGTCAGCGTCCCACCTCCAGAAACCGTCTTCCCCGGGCGCGGACCGGAGGATTTGCCCCCGCACTGGGACGAGTGATGGCCATAGCAGCAAATCCTCAGTTCACCCAGCGGGGCGAGGGCTGAGAAGTTTGGTGCGGGGTGTGAGAAAAATATAGGAGGTTTTGTTATGAGCGAGCTATAGGCAGAACAGAAAGTCTGTGAGGCACGGGGTTCCAGGGTGTGGGCCCCAGCCAAGGGAGTTTGTGGTCGGTGATAGGAACATCTGTATACAGATAAGGAGTTTTTATGTAACTGCAAGGCTTGAACGCATGCACCAGAAGCAAAGTTCAGAAGTTCATTCATGAGGAAGACTCGGAGCCTCCCTCCCCACGACCACCAGAGACCCTCCGAGAGCCGTCAGAGGGGAAGGTTTAGGGTTCGCGGAAAATGTAAATAATTTCTCAGAGGAAGGCTGGCATGGTCAGGAGGCGAAACCTAGAAAGATATATAAACTGTAAATGTCCGTTGAGCGGGTGTGCTCATCTGTCCGTGGATGATGCACCCAGCATGCTGTTAAAGGGCTCTTTGCTTCACAATTTCCGTCTGTAAAATTTTGATTGCTGAGCAGGTTTCTCACACAGAGTTTGGTGCCGCTGGATGTGAGGGGAGGGACGCCCCGCGCCGTACCCTGGCCAGGCTGCGCCCGCAGCGGGAGGTCCCGAATCCCGATCCGGGCGGGTCCTCTCAGGCAGCAGTCACCGCCCCACTCCCTCCCCAGAAGCTCCTGTGGTGCCCCGCGGCCCGGAAACGGAAGCGTGGCGGGGCCGGAGCCGGTGGGCAGTGAGCAGATGGCGGAGTGCGGGCCGGAGCACCCCGGCGGTAGGAGCGAGGCTGGGAGCCGGGCGGCGCTGAGCCGGCACGCGAAGAGCTTGGGGCTGCTCACCACCAAGTTCGTGTCGCTGTTGCAGGGAGGCCAAGGATGGCGTACTCGACCTCAGGCTGGTGCGGGGAGGCCCAGGGGTGGGCTCGGCGGGACGGGCCCTGCGGCGGGGAAGCGGGCCCGAGGCACGGTTGCGTGTGTGGGGGGGTCGAGACTCGGGGGTCTCCGGCGGTGCAGGCGTCCGTGTGCTGCAGTGGGAGCCTCGCTCGGCTCGTTCTGCTTTCTGTTCCTGCCCCACACCAAGATTCTGCTTGATCACCGACACCATAAAGATAATAGAATCAACCAGGTTGGAAAAGACCTTTAAGCTCATAAAGTCCAACCGTTCCCCAGCACTGCCCAGGCCACCACTAACCCATGGCACTGAGGGCCTTGTCTACACGATGTGTGAGCACTTCCAGGGACGGTGACTTCACTACTGCCCTGGGCAGCCTGTTCCAATGCCTGAGCACCCCGTTCCAATGCCTGAGCACCCTTTGGGGAAGAAATTGTTCCTAATCTCCAGTCTAAACCTCCCCTGGTGCACCTTGCGGCTGTTTCATCTTGTCATAGAATCATCGAATAGTTAGGGTTGGAAAGGACCTTAAGATCATCAAGTTCCAACCCCCCTGCCATGGGCAGGGACACCTCACACTAAACCATATCACCCAAGGCCTCGTCCGACCTGGTCTTGTCCCATCCCTTGTTCCTTGGGAGCAGAGACCAGCCCCCTCCTGGCTCCATCCTCCTGTCAGGTAGTTGCAGAGAGCGATAAGGTTCCCCCCTGAGCCTTCCCTTCTCCAGACTAGGCTCCCCAGGTCCCTCATCATACTTGTGCTCCAGGACCTTCAGCAGCTCCATTGCCCTTCTCTGGCCCCACATCAGCACCTAAATGTCTCTCTTGTACTGAGGGGCCCAGAACTGGACACAGGATTTGAGGTGCAGCCTCATCAGTGCCCAGTACAGGGGGATTATCCAGACCTATAAAGCCTCCTAGAACTATAGAAACATACATACAACAACAACTATTTCTCCCTGCTGCACTCTGCCCACAGCAGGAAGGAGAATGGGGTCAGATTCACCCCTTCCCAAGGTTGTCCCTGCTTCCCTTAGGCTGCCCTGTGAATATGCCTTACTTCTGTGTTTTGAATCTCTTTACCTAAAAGAAGTAACTCTGTGGCAGGTACTGTACTTAAACCCAGACCTTTCCTCTAGGTGAAGTTCCTCTGCTGTGGATTATACAGATACCTCTTTATGTGGGTATGTGTGTGTCCTGGGTTCAGCAGTAGCAGTCATTTTTCTCCTTAGTAGTTGGTGCAGTGCTGTGTTTTTGACTTTCAGCCTGGGAAAAGCACTGATAACACCGATGTTTTCAGTTGCTGCTCAGTAATGTTTACTCTGACCAAGGACTTTGTGAGTCTCATGCTCTGCCAGGGAGGAGGGGAAGCCGGGAGGAAGCAGAGACGGGACACCTGATCCAAGCTAACCAAAGAGGTATTCCATACCACAGCACGTCATGCCCAGTATATACACTGGGGGCAGTTACCCGGAAGGGCGAGATCACTGCTTGGGTCTCGGCCTGGGTATCGGTCAGTGGGTGGTGAGCGGTTGTATTCTCTTCCCTTGTTATTTCCCTTATCAGTATTATTATTGGTGGTAGCAGTTGTGGTTTGTGTTATACCTTAGTTACTGGACTGTTCTTATCTCAGCCCGTGGGAGTTACATTCTTTTGATTCTCCTCCCCATCCCTCTGGGACCGAGGGGAGGCGGGGGGGGGGGGGGGGGGGAGAGTGAGCGGCTGCCTGGTCCTGGGTTGCTGACTGGGTTTGAGCCACGACAGTTCTTTGTGGCACCCAACATGGGGCCCAAAGGGTTGGGATAACGACAGATCTGACCGGAGTGTGCCTAATCGTATTTGTGATAAGCATTCATTGTTTCGGATTAATAGTCACTCGTCACAATGCTGATTTATTGGCTCTCAAAGTTGTTGCTCTTGATCTCACAGTTTCAGCATGTCGTACCTTACTTACAGGCGGTATCTGCTGTCTTTGTGTTTATCTTCTGTGGGCCTTGGGCTAAGGTTCTTGTTTCACTGTACTTTATGGTAATGATTTGTAATACAATAGAATCATTGATCATGCAACTGATCTGGCTTGGGTTCCCAGTGTGGTCACTACCTCTATACTTTGGGAGGTATATAGTGGAAAAACTGTCCCTGGATCTGATGGCAAAGCAGCAGTCAGCGCAGCTATTCCAGCTCCAAGCACAGCAGCTACAGCAGCCACAACGACAAGTACAGCAGCTACTCAAGCTTCGACCGCAACAGACAATGCAGCTACCCCAGCTCCAAGCAGGGCAGCTATGCCAACCCCAGTGACAAGTGTGGCAGCTACTCATACCCCGACAACAGATACTGCTGCCGCTCCAACCACAGTGCTAATCACTGCAGCTAAACCAGAGGACCAATTTGTGCCAATATCGGTTGCCCCTGTACGCAAGAGAAAAAGCAAAAAAAAGACAAGAAAAATGAAGAAACAAGATGAAGAAGCAGTGGCAATGCACTTACTACCCAGGGCATCGTCACATGAATCGAAGGAAGAACAAGAAGAAGAGGTGACTTCTCGACCCCGGACCTCAAGCGAGCTACGGAATATGCAAAAAGATTTTACCCGTCAACCAGGGGAGCATATCATCACCTGATTGCTCCGATGCTGGAACAGTGGGGCCGACGGTCACGAACTAGAAGGTAGGGAAGCTAAGCAGCTGGGATCACTTGCTAGGGAAGGGGGAATTGACCAAGCAGTTGCAAGAGAGAAACAGTCCCTCAGCCTTTGGAGGCGGCTCTTGGCAGCTGTGAAAGAAAGGTTTCCATGCGAGGATGATGTGATGAGTCGTTCGGCCAAGTGGACTACTCTAGAGAAAGGCATCCAGTCTCTGAGGGAATCAGCCGTTCTAGAGATGATCTGTCACATCAAGCCGAATGCCAGGGATGCACCCATAGATCCAGATGAAGTCAAATGTACATGAACCATGTAGCGGAAATTTACACAGAATGCACCGTCAACATATGCCCATTCATTGGCACCAGTAACCTGGAATGGCAATAGTACCACTAACAGTGGATGAGATGACTCATAAACTCTGAGAGTTCGAAGACAATCTCACCCCTTCCATCATCTCAGCTGTGGAAAAACTGTCCCAGGAGTTCAGACAATTGAGAGACAATCTATCTGATCTATCCAGCTCCCCACATATACCAACACAAATCTCAGCTATTAACAAAAGGCGTCCTACTGCTCGAGAGAGAAGATATAGGAGGTATACGCCACGGGCCACCCCATGGTTTTACCTGTGGCATCATGGAGAAGACATGAGGAAGTGGGATGGAAAACCTACCTCAGCTTTGGAGGAACAGGTGAGCGAATTGAAGAGGAGAACAAAGGTCAAGGCTGATCATCCCATGAGAGCTGTGGCTTCAGTCTCTGGTGAGCAGGTTCCCAGATGGAGTGGAAGAGCTGATTTTACTCCAGCTCCTGTGATAACGAAGAATAATCCCTTTTACCACGACTTAAGCGTCCAACGTTGTGGTGACTATCAGAGGGGCCCTGCCTCCATCCAGGTGGAGGTAGGGGACAATCAGATTTACTGGACTGTGTGGATCAGATGGTCTGGCACATCAGTCCCACAAAAGTAGAGGGCTCTAGTAGATACCAGTGCACAGTGTACCCTGATGCCATCAAGCTGTCAAGGGGTGGAACCCCTTTATATTTCTGGCGTGACAGGAGGATCCCAAGAGTTGACTGTACTGGAGGCTGAAATCAGCCTGACTGGGAGGAAAAGGCAAAAACACCCCATTGTGACTGGTCCAGAGGCTCCATGCATCCTTGGCATAGACTACCTCAGGAGAGGGTACTTCAAAGACCCAAAAGGGTACCGATGGGCTTTTGGTATTGCTGCTTTGGAGACTGAGGAAATTGAGCAGCTGTCCACTTTGCCTGGTCTCTCCGAGGATCCTTCTGTTGTGGGGTTGCTGAAAGTTGAAGACCAACAAGTGCCAATCGCGACCACAACAGCGCGCCGGCCACAATATCGCACCAACTGAGACTCCCTGATTCCCCTACATCTGCTGATCTGTAGACTGGAGAGCCAAGGAGTGATCAGCAGTACCTCCTCGCCCTTTAATAGCCCCATATGGCCAGTGCGAATGTCTAACAGGGAGTGGAGACTAACAGTAGACTGTCGTGGCCTGAATGAAGTCACACCTCCCTTGAGTGCTGCTGTACCGGGCATGCTAGAGCTTCCGTATGAGCTGGAGTCAAAGGCAGCCAAGTGGGATGCCGCAATTGATATTGCCAATGCATTTTTCTCAATCCCTTTGGCAGCAGAGTGCAGGCCACAGTTTGCTTTTACTTGGAGGGGTGTCCAGTTCACTTGGAACCGACTGCCCAGGGCTGGAAACCCAGCCCTTCTATGTGCCATGGACTGATCCAGACTGCACTGGAACAGGGTCAAGCTCCAGAACACCTGCAATAGATTGATGACATTATTGTGTGGGGCGATACAGCGGAAGAAATCTTTGAGAAAGGGAGGAAAATAATCCAAATCCTGCTGAAAGCCGGTTTTGCCTTAAAACAGAGTGAGGTCAAGGGGCCTGCACAGGAGATTCAATTTTGGGGAATAAAATGGCAGGATGGACTTTGCCAGATTGCCACAGATGTGATCATAAAGATAACAGCAATGTCTCCACCAACTAATAAGCAAGAAACACAAGCTTTCTTGGGTGCAGTGGGGTTCTGGAGAATGCACATCCCGAATTACAGTTTGATTGTAAGCCCTCTCTATCATGTGACCCAGAAGAAGAATGATTTTAAATGGGGCCCTGAGCAACGGCAAGCCTTTGAGCAAATTATGCTCAAGGTAGTTCATGCAGTAGACCTTGGACCACTCTGGTCCCGGCCACATGTAAAAAATATACTCTGTACCGCAGCTGGGGAGAATGGTCCTATCTGTAGCCTCTGGCTGAAAGCTCCAGGGGAGACTCAAGGTCCCTGATTTTGGAGTTGGGAATGCAGAGCATATGAAGAATTTGCTGGGAAGACAGTCTGGGTTATTCCTGCTTCAGGTAAAGGCTAACCCACTCGTGGGATTGCTTTTGCTCAAGGGCCAGGATATACTTGGTGGGTAATGCAGGAAGATGGGGAAGTCCGATGTCTACTTCAAGGGGATTTGATTTTAGGGGAAAACAGCCAATGAACTTAATTGTATGCTGTTGCCTGCTGTGTAATACTTTTATAGCCCATCAACTAGATGTCTTCAGGTCGCCAGTGACTAGCCCTGACTTCCCTCCAACCATCATCCCAACAGAGAATGAACTTTGATAGAACCGGACGTGTTCTGCAGTAAAGAAACTATCAGCATCAGCAGTCAATGATCCAACACTGCACACAGCCTCTCCTGCTCTGAAATACTGTTACAAGAGATGGAACCTGACATCATGGACCAAATGGACTCGGCAGCATTATAGGGATTGGTCCATGCACTAAGAGATGATTTCTTTCTCTCTGTCTGTGTGTATGTGGATGTATATATATGTAAGAGCGATGGTATATTGAAAATTTGGGATCTGAGCATGATGTGAATGGTTTGGAATAAGGGGTAGATAGTGTCCTGGGTTTACAGTAGCAGTCAGTTTTTCTCCTTCTTAGTAGCTGGTGCAGCGTTGTGTTTTACCTTAAGCCTAGGAACAGAGCTGATAACACCGATGTTTACTCTCACCAAGGACTTTGTGAGTCTCATGCTCTGCCAGGGAGGAGGGGAGGCCAGGAGGAAGCAGGGATGGGACAACTGATCCAAACTAGCCAAAGAGGTATTCCATAACACAGCACATCATGCCCTCTGTATAACCTTGGAGCGGTTACCCAGAAGAGCTAGATCGGTGCTCGTGTTGGGCTGGGTGTCGGTTGGTGGGTGGTGAGCAGTTGTGTTCTCTTCCCTTGTTATTTCCCTTATCAGTATTATTATTGGTGGTAGCAGTAGTGGTTTGTTTTATTCTTGAGTTATTGGACTGTTCTTATCTCAACCTGTGGGATTTACATTCTTTTGATTCTCTTCCCCATCCCTCCTTTACCTGGGGGAGGAATGGGGGAGAGTGAGTGAGCGGTTGCGTGGTTCTGGGTTGCCCGGTGTGTTTAAACTACAACGGTCCCATAGCCTGAAGGGAGCAATGTATGAGCAGGGCAGGAAGTCCTATGGCTGCTCCCAAGCTCCTGCCTTGCAGCTGTTCTTATGCTCGTTCTGCCTCCTGTCTTTCAAAGAGAGGAATCTGCCTCTTGACAAGTGTTGATATTCCATAAATCTCATCAGATCCAATTTAGAAAATACATTTTGAGTGTTGACTTAGCCCTATTGTCAGTTATTCAGGCAGATCTCTGCATTCCTCTTCCCATCCTCATCTCTTCTAGCCTGAAGGAGCATTGAATTTTCAGGCTGCCGAACTAGCGTCTTCTGGCACTGCTTTGGTGCTGTGTGATGGTGACTTGTGGATCCACTGTGAGCAGGATGGCTGGAATTTGGTTTGTGTTTAATGAGGAGGTTGCGAGGTCAGAAAAGTGATCAAGGGTCAGCAGCTTCTTATGATCATAATGGTATTAGGAACATGGCTTTGTAATTTGAGGTGCTGGACCAAGAGAGGAATGAGATGGCAAGCAGAGCGCTTTGCCGGGAATCAATCTGACAGACAGGAAGGAGTGAAACATGACTGAGAGTTTGGAGTGAAGAGTCTAACCGTTTTGCAGGCTGCGGATACCTTGGCTGTGCAACAGAAGCGACGGATCTACGATATCACAAATGTCCTGGAAGGCATCGGGTTGATTGAAAAGAAGTCCAAGAACAGTATCCAGTGGAAGTGAGTGACAAGAGAAGCTTTAAATAGTTCACAGGATCCTTCTAGGCCAGGTCTGAGTGGCACTGGGGTTAAAATGCCCTGCTCAGGGCAAAGTTCCTCAGTAGTCCATGCATGCTGGTACTTCCCCCCAGCTGGGCTTTGCTGATGGTAGTAATGAGGAAAGCTGAAGTACTTATGGCATGTCTCTTACAGCAGGGCTGTTATTTTGATACAAACTAAGTATTTGCAGCACTTTGGGCTAGGAAAGATGCCTGTCATGGGACTGGAGATAGGGGAGAGCCCTGTCAGTCTGAACAATGTAGGAAGATGTACCAAAGATACACTGTTGCAGTGCTGGGAGGTGAGGATCTAGAGCAGGTACTGATGAGGCTTTCTGGGTCATCTGGCCTTTGGCATGAAATAGGGGTGGCAGTAAGGGGGGTGGCAGCCTCTATGAGAGGTTGGGCCTGGTCTGGATGCCTGCAGGGCCTGATGCATGTCCTTTCTTTTTACCTTGCACAGAGGAGTGGGTCCTGGCTGCAACACACATGAAATAGCTCATAAACTGATCAAGCTGAAGGCAGACATAGAGGACCTGGAGCAGTGGGAGCAGGAGCTGGAGCAGCAGCAGCAGATGTGGGTTCAGCAGAGCATCAAAAATGTTAAAGAAGACATGCAGAACAGTCAATATCCTTTGTGTGAACTGATTACTCTGTCTCCACATTCACTTGTGGGGCTGGGAAGCAGAGACCTGAGGGCTGGGTTGATGCCACCCTGATCAGGGCAGAGGAGTGGTGGTGACCTGTTGCTGCCAGAGGATTTGCACTGAAAGGGTCAAGAGGCAGTGCCTGGCTTTGGAATTGGGGTAACTGTCTAGCCTGGGAACCAGCTTTCTCTGTGGTGCATGACTCCTTGATTGGCTTTTTGAAGTAAAAATGCAATATTTACCATGATGAGAAAAGTGCTTCTCTCTGACTCCCAGGTGCCACTTCCCTGAGCGCAGAGCTGCTCCTGTGGTTTGCTTCTTAGGATGTCAGCGATGACAAGCATGTAGCTTGCAGACCTCACCTGCAGACCACTTCAGAGCATGGCACAGGAAGCTTTCTGAGAATGGCGTTTCTTGTGCTAAGGAAGGAAGCACCAGGTGCCCTTTGAGTTCTCTGTCTGCACAGGAAGTTGCAGTCTTTCTCCTTAACCTTGGAAACATTAGCGTATGTGACACATGAAGATATCTGTAAGTGCTTCACAGGTGAGGAAATGGCATTTCATTGTAAAGATGTAATGCTGTAGTCCTGACAGTCTGTTCCAGATGCTCTTCTCTCTTCAGGGAAGAGGATACAGTGGACCATGGACTGCCCAACAGCATCAGGTTAAATGTAGTGTGAGCTCTGATGCCATCCTGGGTTTGTGTAGCACTGACTTGTAGCTTTCTTGTCACCGTCAGAGCGGGCAGGTGGTTTCTGTTACAGGAACATAGCTGCTTATCCTAAGGAAGTCTTTTTGCTGGGTGTCACTATGTGGGGGGGTGCGTGTGTTAAGTTAGAAGCCCTTGATTGTAAGGGCTTGGGTGGACAATGTCCTAATAAAAGGAAGCAAGATGTATTGCATTGTAGAAATCTGGGCGTAAGCAGGAAGACAGTAAAAAGTGGTCCCTCAGCTGCATCATGCCCTCTACCAACAGGAATGCAAGAGGGAGGTAGTGAAGAGCAGGACGGAAGGGAATACACTGCTTGCTGTGATCTCACTCCTCCCTTGTGTACTGCCTTCCTAAAGCTGTGAGGTGCCTGTATAAAAAGCTGTATGTGTCTCTGTGGGGCAGAAGTGAAGAAAATCCACAGGAGTATATCTTTCTTTGCTATTGCCAATTCTAATCATAGCTGTAGGATCCAAACCAAATTAAATAATTCCCTGGTGGCCACTGTGCAGATTGGTAGCTTGCAGGACAACTGTTCTTGCTGAAGCAGTGTGGAGTCACAGCTCCTATCTGTTTTGGTGGGCATCTCCCCTCTTCTGACCACGGGCAGCCTGCATCTGCTTTCGTGAAGCAGAAATTGAAGCTGTTTATCCTGATCTCCCCCAGCCATGTGTAATCTCAACCTTCTCATCTCTTCCAAGTACTCTTCTCATCCTACACTTCATCAGCTCTTCTATTTTTCATCTTTGCCTTTGTGTGCTTTCCTTGTTCACCACCAGGATTTAGGTGTCCCTGCCCATGGCAGGGGGGTTGGAGCTAGATGATCTTAAGGTCCTTTCCAACCCTAACTACTCTATGATTCTATTCTATACTGCTCAAGTTCCTGCTAGTAATTTATGCAACCACCCCCTTTGCTTTACTGTTTCTTCTGACTGGAGCTAGCACTTTTGGGGCAGGGACTGTGTTTTCAGTTTGACAGTGCTTGGAGCCAGATAACTCTTCCAGACTGTTCTGAGTTCACTGGAGACCAGCAACTTGTTGCTTGGTTTGCATTTTATTGCGCCTGGTTTTTGTAAAGCGGTATGTCTGAAGTCAGACCTCACCAAAATGCACAGAGATTAGAAGACAGATCTGAATTCCTTCTAGAAGAGAGGCTTGATCTATGTTTTTCCATTGTCTGTTCAGTTTTCCTGTAGGAATATGCTTTACATGACTTTTGTTCCTCTCCTGAGCGTGAGCTTTGCAGAGGTTCCTTGTTCAACTGCTTGTGTTGCTGAACTGTGGTACAGGCTGAATTTCAGTTCCTGTTTTATCTAACTGACAGTTATTGAACTCTCTCAAAGTGAGTTAGGGCTTGAAGATTTCCATGCTTGGACTCTGTCAAATAAGAATTTGTTATTTGGATTAAATAAAAAAAAAAAAGAAAAAAAAGTATGTTCGGGTTTGTTTTGGGGGAGGGGGGCATCATTCCGTCTCAACACACCCAGTCAGTTGTGAGCACCTATAATAAATGCTTGGAGCAATGCAAAGATATTCCAGCCACTCCAGCCAATGAGCCCGATTCATTTGGAGCTCGACTCAGATGCCTCTATACAAATGCCCGTAGCATGGGGAACAAACAAGAGGAATTGGAGACGTGTGCACGTCTATGGGGGTACGATATAATAGGCATCACAGAAACATGGTGGGATGGCTCCTATGACTGGATTGTTGGAATGGAAGGTTACAGGCTCTTTAGAAAAGATAGGCCCGGCAGGCTGGGAGGGGGAGTTGCTATTTCTGTTAGGGATACACTGGAGAGTATGGAACTCTGTCTGGGGACAGGTGAGCAATCGACAGTTTGTAGGTCAGGGTTAAAGGGAGAATACCTATGGGAGACATTACTGTGGGGATCTGTTACAGACAGCCTGACCAAGAAGAACCTGCAGATGAAGCACTCTACAGACAGATAGGAAAAGCCTCATGCTCACAGGCCCTTGTTCTCATGGGGGATTTCAACCACCCCCACATCTGTTGGAGCGACGGAACGGCCCGGCACAAGCAATCCAGGAGATTCCTCAGTTGTGTGGAAGACAACTTCCTTCTGCAAGTAATAGAGGAGCCAACAAGGAGAGGTGCCATGCTTGACCTCGTGCTCACCAACAGGGAAGGGCTCATTGGAAATCTGAAGCTCCAGGGCAGCCTTGGATGCAGCGATCACGAGATGGTTGAATTTGAGATCCTCAGGACAGTGAGAAGAGCGTGCAGCAAGCTCACTGCCCTGGACTTCAAAAGAGCAGACTTTGGCCTCTTCAGGAACCTGCTTAGTAAGGTTCCATGGGAAAAAGCCTTAGAGGGCAGGGGGGCCCAAGACTGTTAGTTGATATTCAAGGATCACCTGCTACAAGCTCATGAGTGTTGCATCCCAGCTAGAAGGAAGTGCAGCAGGAGGGCCAGGAGACCTCCTTGGATGGATAAGGAGCTGCTGAGGATGCTTCAAATGAAAAAAAGAGGATTATAAAAAGTGGAAGCAAGGACAGGCAGCCTGGGAGGAATACAGGGATGTTGTCAGGGAAGCTAGGGACCAGGTTAGGAAAGCTAAGGCCCAGTTAAAATTAAACTTGGCTAGGGATATTAAGGAGCCCGAACAAGAAGAGAGTACCTTTCTGGGTAACTCCCAGTTACCTCCCCGGGCATGACATGCTGTGGTATGGAATCCCTCTTTGGCTAGTTTGGGTCAGATGTCCTGTCCCTGCTTCCTCCTGGCCTCCTGGCCTCCTCTCCTCCCTGGCAGAGCATGAGACTCACAAAGTCCTTGGTCAGAGTAAACATCAGTGTTATCAGCTCTGTTCCCAGGCTTAAGGCAAAACACAGCGCTGCACCAGCTACTAAGAAGGAGAAAAATTCACTGCTACTGCTAAACCCAGGACATCGGATCATCCGTTTTCCCCTTCTTGAAAATGGGGGTTATATTTCCCTTTTTCCAGTCATCAGGAACTTTATCTGACTGCCATGATTTTTCAAATATGATGGACAGTGGCTTAGCAACTTCATTTGCCAGCTCCTTCAGGACCTGTGGATGGATTTCATCAGGTCCCATGGACTGATGGATGCTTTACACAAGTCCAATTAGATGACATCAACTGCTCTACCCCTGTCCATCAGTTCCTTAGCCCCATCATAGCAGGCCACCAGATTGGTCAGGCAGGATTTCCCCTTAGTGAAGCCATGCTGGCTGTCACCAACCGCCTTGTTGTTTTTCATGTGCCTTAGCATGCCTTCCAGGAGAATCTGCTCCCAGGTTTTGCCAGGCACAGAGGTGAGGCTGTCTGGTTTGTAATTCCCTGGGTCATCCATTTTCCCCTTCTTGAAAATGGGGGTTATATTTCTCTTTTTCCAGTCGTCAGGAACTTCACCTGACTGCCATGATTTCTTAAATATGATTGCTAGTGGCTTAGCAGCTTAATTCGCCAGCTCCTTCAGGACCCATGGGTGGATTTCATCAGGACCCATGGACCTGTGCACGTTTAGATTTCTAAGATGGTCTCGAACCATATCTTCTCCTACAGTGGGCCCAAGGTCTTCATTCTCACAGTCCCTGCGTCGGCCTTCCAAGATTTGGGTGGTGTCGTCAGAGCCCTCGCCAGTGAAGACCAAGGCAAAGAAGTCATTCAGAACCTCAGCCTTCTCAAAACTGAGTGTAGCTAGTCCTCCCGAGAGCTTCCTGAGGGGGTCTAAATTCTCCCCAGTCTGTTTTTTATTTGCTATGTACCTGTAGAATCCCTTCCTGTTATCCTTAATATACCTAGCCAAGTGTCCTGGGTTCAGCAGTAGCAGTCATTTTTCTCCTTCTTGGTAGCTGGTGCAGTGCTGTGTTTTGACTTTCGGCTTGGGAACAGAGCTGATAACGATGATGTTTTGGTTTGGCCAAGGACTTTGTGAGCCTCATGCTCTGCCAGGGAGGAGGGGAAGCTGTGAGGAAGCAGAGATGGGGCGCCTGACCGGGGCTAGCCAGGGAGGTATTCCATACCACAGCACGTCATGCCCGGGGTGGGGGGTAACTGGGAGTTACCCAGAAGGACATGGGCTTCCGGGTGGGACTCGTTTCTTGGCCGGTGGTATTGTATTCTCTTCCCTTGTTATTTTCTCTTATCATTGTTGTAGTTGGTAGTAGCGGTGGTGATTTGTGTTGTACATTGGTTGCTGGACTGTTCTTGTCTCAACCCGTAGGAGTTGCACTCTTTCGATCCTCCTCCCCGTTCCTCCGGGAGCGGGGAAGGGGAGAGCCCCGGTGGGGGGGGGACCCTCGATTGTAGTCAGCCTGGCACCACTCACTGGGAGTGAGTGAACAAGTTGCCTGACTGGGTTTAAACCACAACACCAAGTTTAATTCTAACTGGGCCTTAGCTTTCCTAACCTGGTCCCTAGCTTCCCTGGCAACATCCCTGTATTCCTCCCAGGCTGCCTGTCCTTGCTTCCACTTTTTATAATCCTCTTTTTTCATTTGA